AATATGAAGCCAACCGAGCTGTTTGTATTTGAAAGCTAGCTGGAAGCCAAACGAACGTCGGACCGGACAAGTCAAGGTGTCCGGACAGCAGATAAACGCTGCATGTGCAGATAATAGTCTGTCCACTATGTACATACGTTTGTATATCCATGCAAATTAAACCAACTTGACAGTAAAGAAGCCAACCCACACGCTTTTCGAATGCGTGTGCATATGAAATTGATTGGAAACAGCAGGCAATCCAAAAAAGTAGGCAATTCGAATCAACTCAATCAAGGCTAATTGAAAGACAAATTGTCGTTCTATTTGCAAAAATAATATGCCCAATATAGAGAGTGCAGCCAATTGTTAACATAAGGTTAAAGCGTTCAATTAAACGACAATAATTTGGCTTTGAAAATTGGCTTTGAGTAATAAATTCAAAGTGGTGTTACAATTTTAAAACAAATTATTTGTGCACTTTACTTTATAAAACGCAGTAAAAGTAGGAGGACCCTTTAAAGCTATTTTCAATTTATAAAGAATTAACATTTCTAGTAAACAGATTGATTTTACACTTGACCAAAAGCTAAACTGCTCAAATTAATTAAATAAATTTCCAACCCAGAGACACAAACGATCTCTTTCGCCTCCGGCAGGTGGAAGACCTTAAAGATATAAATTAACCCACCTAAACCGAGTGGAGTCCAAAGTTGAATTCGAGTTTGAGGCGCTTTGCTGAAAGAAAGTTTAATGACTACCATAAAATTTGTTGACTTTGCTTGTACAGACATACGAAAGTACTGTGCTCGGTGCCATCCAAGGACTGTGTTGAGGAGCGGGAGGCAGGACGTGGGAAATGGGAAATGGGGTGGTGGCAGCAGGACACACGGTGAGGTAAAGCGACTGTGGCTATGGTCGTTAGTCTATGGCGCCCATTTGATAATAAATCCTGTCCAACACACACAACCCAGGTCACACTCCGAGGAGAGCAGACCTGGCTTTGTTTATGCACTGCCCAACAAAATGGGGATAATTCATCCCCCCGCCTCAACCAACTAGCTTCTTCCCCCTCTCTTGCTATCTGTTTCCTCTTAGCTGTATAGAATACCCTTGTCAAAGGTATTCTAATTTAGTTGGACATATTAAAAAGAAAAGTTGGCTTAGCTAAGCACTTAGCACTTAGATTGGCACACAAAGTTTATTTCTTAAAATTTATTGACCTTCAGAAATAAATCAAACTAACCGTGAATTCTTTTGAATGAACTTATCTTCTAAGAAAAGTCGAGCGGGATTTTTGTTGACTAATGAAATAATCTGAAATAGATTTAATGAAGTCTACTTATTTTATTCAGTAGTTTTTCAATTCGGAGCTATGATTTAAAAATTTAAAATTTTTGAGGATATCCAATAATATATCCATAGACATATATCCTTGTTCATGGGTATTCCATGCTTCGGTCAACCGAAATGGACTTCCTAGATTCCTTTTCTTTTTATTTTCACCTCTCCAGTTGGCGGCTTAGCGGCGGCATCGCTGCTTGTAGTTTCCATAGGGGAGTTAAGTAGACTTTTGTGTTATAAATTAGGCGTGCCAATGTGTGCAGTGACTGCCTTTTGCTTTCCTTGCTGTTAGCCCACTCTATTCCACAGCTCTTTTCTGTCCCAGCGTCATCATCTTGTGCTCTTGGCTCTGTATTGCAGCCACCTCCCTCGGCTGGTAGTTAGTCTAAATATGCATATGAATATGAAATTAGTCGCATGTGTTCGTTCGTTTCTGCCTTGGTCTTCATCCTGCCTTCGTCCTGCGCCTGCCCTGCCGTTGCCCCTTGAATTGAATTGAATTTTCTATGCCAAGAGCCTTGTGTCTTGTGTTCCATTGCCTGTGTCGGGAAGCTCTGGGTTTTCTGGGCGCTCTCGGTAAAAAGGAATTCCATGCGTAATTTAATGTTTGTGCATGTTGTTAAATGATTCACGATGAGCAGGCTGCAGCAGCCATGAATGAAGTGAACCTGATTGCCATTAAGGATCATCAAAACGAAACCAAAAGAGATTCTATTCTTTTGGTCATCTTTTAAGAAAAGGAAAAAAATCCTACTTTTCTGGTTGAGTAATTAATTGGACGATCTGATAACTGGATATGAAAGTAACCAGAAACAAAAAAGGCCCTTTGACAAACAGCATTCCTCAGACTTGTTATTTCGTTTATCAAAAAATATTCCATTAAAACTTGTTACTTCAACATTTCTTAACATAGCACACACCATCTTACCAAACTTATAGAAAACACACAAACGAATTTTTTTTGAACACCCCCAAAACCGATTTAAATGTTAATAGAGCAACGAACCCACTGGAAAACGACGAACAAAACAAATAAGAATTTATAACGTCGCGAATGGTGCTGAACTTTGGCAAGGAAGAATAGAAGTGCCAAATGGGGTGTTGGGGACCACTCTCCTGAAACATTTTTGCATAAATTTCATAACATATGCCCCAACGCAGGCGTCATCGGCTGCCTCTGAGTGTGAACTTGCCTCTTTTGGAGCCTGCACTGGGAATGCATCGATGAAATAATAAGAATTCAGTTTAGGTTTTAATGTAAACAATTCTAAATAAACAATAAGTTCTTCTGGTTAGAGAATATTTTTTTCGATGCCTTATCTATAATCTTTAAAAATCAGTGTTGAATTTTTTTCAGTGTACCTAATACACAGCAGAGTTTATATGATTTCGTATTCTTTCCTTTTATTCTCGACAAAAAATTTAATATCCTTTTATGCTAAAAGTATTAAGCTTTAAGTATTAACATTTTAATCTCAAATTTATCTTAATATTTTATTGTTTTCTTAATATTAGCTTTATCCGTAACAATATTGTTTTGTGTTTTCACAACCAGTTAAAGGATCAGATTAGTTCCTTTTGCTATCTGTTTGAATGCTCTATGAAAATTATTTATAAATACGTCCACTAAAATTGCAATCCCTAGACCAAAGCAAAAGTCAAAACGCAAATATACCAAATGCCGAAACGCACAAACAATAATACAAACGCACACGCAGAGTAGAAAAGGACAAATTATAGTAGCTTTAGATTAAATGGACGCACATTAAAACAGCCACACAGGACGGGAAAGGTTTGGGTGGTTTTTTTGGGTGGTTCGTCGGATGAGTTCAGTGGTTTTGTCCTGGACAGTCAGCTATACATATACATATAAATTAAGCAATAGCCAGAAACCAAAAAGGCGGCCCAGCAGAGCCAACATCAGAAAGTTTGTCAAGCTTTTGCTCTGGCTGCGGGGACTCGACTTCCATTTATTTTCGGTGACGTACATAAACTATTTGCAAGCACTGTGGGGGTAGGAAAAGTTCTTCTGAAATAAAATAATTAAATGTTTGCCTCTCTGGTTCTCCCTCAGTTGAGATGTTAACAAAATTTATAAGACAAATAAATTGTAGCAGGCAAAAAACACAAAACTGAATGCCCAAAGCCAGCAGATTTGTGACTCTACTTCTTTCGCGTTCAGTCAGTCATTCTGTCTGTCCCCTTTTTCGACTGAGCGGTAGGAAAAAAAGGGTCAACTTGGTGCGTCTGTCGCTTATGACCAAAAAATTAATTTAACTGACACGTTTTTCATTCATAAATAAAAAGTACATTGTGTCAACAAAAAAAAAACATCTGAGCGCTTACATTAAGAAATGGATAAATGGTTTAAATAGAAATGTAAAGAAAGTATTGCTTGTTTTTTACATGTCTTGTTTTGGACAAATAAACGGAGAAGGTGATTAATAGCTGAAGGTTTATATTTAAAAAATATTAGTGTTTTCAACCATCAAATCTAGTAATTTTAGCTTATGATGATTGTAAGCACTACAAATCGGCGTGTGTGAGTCATTAATTCTTCGTAAATATAAAAGAAACCATTTCTTGTTTTTTTTCGGAAACAAAAAGTGTTTTCAAATTTTCACTTAAAAGTTAAAAGAAAACATCGACACCCACTCTAATTCAAGGCACTTTGGTAACCGAGTTTTCCGGACTTAATTCACCTAGCCTGTGCAGTTCAAGTTGCAAATTTTCCATAAGAATACGCCCAAAAGGACATCGTTGTCCTCTGCCAGTCTCGGGTTAAGTGTATCTAAGCGCTGCACTCCAAGCCAAGCCAAGCAGATGCCGCATTTCCTCGGTTCTCGGCTTCCAGTTCTTGTGGCAAGTTCTCTAAATGAGGACTGAGAACTGAGGACACAGGAGTGTGACGTGCGTCGGCCATAATCCTTGCAGCCATATGTGGGTGGGTTTGGGTAGTTCGGTTTCCGTTTGCATAATGAGAAGGCGAGTGACATTCACTGTTGCCTGATACAAGTACTTATGTGTGGGGCTTGGGTGAACCCAACCAGAATCATAACATAGAACAACTCAATCGGTTACTTTGGGCTGCTACTTTCAATTTTTTTTGTAGTTGGACAACACTGCGAATGAGTGTTTCAAAGTTTCCAGAAAAATTACTTATACGAGAAGTATGCAAAATACAAATTTGTTGAGGTCTACATTATATAATGTATGTGATAAAAAACAAGTTAACACAATATCGCTTATTCCACGGTTATTTTATAAATAAAAAATATATAAATTTATTGTAGTTGAACAAGACTGCGTATGCGTGATTTAAAGTTTCCAGAAAAAATACTTATACGAGAAAGATGCCAAATAGAATTTTGATTGGGGGTACATTTTCTAATGTATGTTTTTTGTGAAAAAATGATAACACAATATCCCTTACTTCTCGGTAATTTTCTAGTTAATTAAATTGCTCTTAAATTTATTGTATTTGGACAACACTGCGTATGAGTGTTTCAAAGTTTTTATTAATGTTACTTATACGAGCCGTATGCCAAATAGTATTTTTATGAAAAAAGTATATCACAATATCGCTTATTTCTCGGTTATTTTCTAATTAATTAAATTTCTCTGAGAAGTAGGCAACTAATTTTTTTATCTTTTCTCCGCTCTATTTTTCAGGTACTGCAACTTTATTTTTCCTACTCACACATACACACACACACTTTTAGCGACGTACTCAAGCAATAAAAGACTATATAAGATACGATCAAAATACCCAAAAAACAAATCAAATTCAGCATTTACGAGAAAAGTCTGCGTGTAGAAAAGGAAAAAAAAACAACAAAAAAACAGAAAAGCAACAACGTAGTGCTTGTCAAACTGCAGAATACCAAAATGTTGCAAGCGCAAAAACAAAAGCAAACCAAGAGAAGCAACAACAAGAGCAGAAACAGCACTAACAATTGCCATTGCAATTGCAACAGCAACAACAACAACAAAGCGACGTTTCAGCGTCGCAAAATTACAACGATAACATAAACGAGCAATCGAGCGAGATAGTTAAAGAGCGAGAGGAAAAGAAAGGAGAAGTTTTGTTTTGCAATTTCCCTTCCAATCCGCCGCCCTTCCCCTTTTCCCTTCCCTCTTCTTTGGCTGTGTGCGTGTGTCTGTCTGCCTGTCTGTATGTGCCCTCTCAGCTGAGGATAATTTAATTATTTTATTTGTACTAAGCGCGCGTTATGGCACAGCAGCAGCAACAACAACAGCAACATCACAGCAACAACAACAACAGCATTCTCCTTCTTCAGCACCAGCAGCCACAACAAGAAGAACAACTACAGCAATACAATAACAATTTGTATAGCCAAAATTATAAGTAAGTTTTAGAGTCACCGCACTCTAGCTCTGCCTGTGTCTGTCTTCGTCTCCGTCTCTGTCTATCTCTTCGTCGCTGTTCATACATTCATATATTTGTTGTGTTCTCAAGCATGTCTGCACCACTACCACTACTAGACTTTAAAACCAGACAAAATCAAATGCAAACATTTGCACAAATTTAAGAACCCCGCTTCCCCTTTTGAAGAACAAATAACGCTTTCATAGCCATCAAACTGTGCTTGCGTGAGTGCATGTCTAACCAAAGACACCCATCGTATGCTTGTCAAACTATTGGCACCTAACAACACCCATGTGCACAAGTGGGTTAAATATTGACCAAAAAACAAAACCGGGTAGGTGAGGCGTAACCGTAAAAAATGTGCCAGAAAGTTGCACAAAATATTAAAAAAAAATGTTTATTAATTCCTTTTTTCTCTAGAAAAAACATTGTTTTGTTTTTTAATTACAAATATTTCTTATCTTTTGTAAAGTGTTTTTTTTTTGTAAATCAAATGGTCGAAAACCTTAGTATAACTACAAGTCTTTTTCGCCACATTACCACTAATACGAACATGTACCATATTTGTTTACAAATACGGTTTGCATTAATACAAGAATTTTAAATAACCATAGTTCTTAGTAAGGGAAACTAACAATATTTTTGAAGTATAACCCATACTATGCTTTTTGCCCATTTAAACTGTGGATTACTTTAGTCCTCGCCGAAACTTAAGCACGCAATGCATGCCAAATGGCTTGTTCTCGACGAATGTTTTGAAAATGGCAACTGTTTGAACGCCTCATGTTTGTTGTTGTTGTTGTATTTCCTGTGATGTTTGTTTGCTGTCTAGTTTATGTTGTTACTGCAACCAATAACAAAAAAAAACAAGAAAGGAAAGCTAACTTCGGGCGGAGCCGAAGTTGATATACCCTTGCAGAATATTATGTACATTATAGTCTCCAAAATTATTCATATGATGCATTCTTAATACTCATAAAAAATCCCAACTTCCTAACTTTAAAAACACCAAAGTTATGGCATTTCCAATCGTTCAGTTAAATGACAGCTATAGGATATAGTCGGCCGATCCTTATGAAATTTGGTAGGTCGGATTGATTAACCAAATATAAAACCCATAGAAAATCCCAGCTTCCTAACTTTACAAACACCAAAGTTATGGTATTTCCAATCGTTCAGTTAAATGGCAGCTATAGGATATAGTCGGCCGATCCTTATGAAATTTGGTAGGTCGGATTGATTAACCAAATATAAAACCCATAGAAAATCCCAGCTTCGTAACTTTACAAACACCAAAGTTATGGCATTTCCGATCAATCAGTTATATGGCAGCTATAGGATATAGTCGGCCGATCCTTATGAAATTTGGTAGGTCGGATTGATCGGCCAAATATAACACGCATAGAAAATCACAAATTCCTAACTTTACATACACCAAAGTTATGGCATTTTCGATCAAGCAGTTATATAGGATATAGTCGGCCGATCCTTATGACATTTGGTAGGTCGGATTGATTGGCCAAATATAAAACCCATATAAAATCCCAGCTTCCTAACTCTACAAACACCAAAGTTATGGCATTTCCGATCAATCAGTTATATGGCAGCTATAGGATATAGTCGTCCGATCCTTATGAAATTTGGTAGGTCGGATTAATTGGTCATATATATAACCCATAGAAAATCCCAACTTCCTAACTTAACAAACACCAAAGTTATGGCATTTCCGATCAATCAGTTATATAGCAGCTATAGGATATAGTCGGCCGATCCTTATGAAATTTGGTACGTCGGATTGATTGGCCAAATATAATACCCATAGAGAGTCCCAACTTCCTAACTTAACAAACAGCAGAGTTATGGCATTTCCGATCAATCAGTTATATGGCAGCTATAGGATATAGTCGGCCGATCCCGGCCGTTCCGACTTATATACTGCGTGCAAAGGAAAGAAGGGTGTGTGCAAAGTTTCAATTCGATATCTTTAAAACTGAGAGACTAGTTCGCGTAGAAACAGACAGACGGACAGACAGACGGACAGACGGACAGACGGACAGACGGACAGACGGACATGGCTATATCAACTCAGGAGGTGATCCTGATCAAGAATATATATACTTTATAGGGTCGGAGATGTCTCCTTCACTGCGTTGCACACTTTTGACCAAAATTATAATACCCTCTGCAAGGGTATAATTATAAAATAAAAACCAACATAAAAGGCAATTAGTGTAAGATAAAGCAGTTTAATAATAAGTTTTTAATCTTTTTGCAGTATGGAGGAGTACGAGCGGCGAAAAAGACGAGAGCGTGAGAAAATCGAGCGACAACAAGGCATACAGATCGACGATCGGGAGACTAGTCTTTTCGGGGAGCCGCGGCGGCTGACAGAGGGAGATGCGGAGATCACGGCCGCCCTGGGGGAGTTCATCGAGGCGCGGGTGTACATCAATCAGTCGACGGTGGGGATCAGTCGAAATGCGCCCGGCGCCGGCAATCCGCGCCTGCAGGCGCCACTGCCGTTGCAAGCCAAATCCCTTGGCCACTCACCCTCCTCCGCGTCATCAGGTTCCACTTCCGCATCCTCCGCAACATCAGCGCTGCCCGGCCAGCAACAACAACAGCACCACCAGCAACAGCAGCGACCGCCGACGTATCTGAAGCAGGCGGACAACAAGCCGCCATACAATGGACGCGGCGGCTATCCGGGCCAGCCCATGAAGAATGACATTCCGTCAAGCAGTGGCATGGCTCCGCCACGGGGCCCACCCAGATCCAATAGTTCCAGCAACAGCAACTCGTCCAGCGCCACAAACAACGCCAGCAGCGGCGGAGTCCCAGCCAGCACGGTGTTGGGGCCACCTCTATCCACCCAGATGCCCAATGGGCGGGAGAAGTCCTTTATTGGGCCGCCGCCTCCGACGCTGCACAACGGCACCGACAGACGCTTTGTGCCACCAGCGGTCAGCAAGCGACCAGGAGCGGGACAGCAACCGCCGCCTCCGGAGGTAATATTTTAACCAGTTACTTGAAGTTTTCAACCTGTTCAATCTTTTGGAATATATAGAACTTGGTAACACATTTTTTATTTTCACTTTGCAGAAGGACGTCAACAAGATATTTAGCGATATAGCGAATAGCTTCTCGTTCACGCCGCTCACATCGATAGCAGCCACGCCGCATGCGCCAACGCGTGAAAACTATAACCTAACGGCCCCCAATAAACAAAAGTATGCCATCGACATGATCGGATCACCGCCCTCCGCTGAGCCTTCGGTCGTCTTCTTCCCGCCCTCCGCTGAACCTTCGGTCGCCTTCTTCCCGCCCATTGCGCCTATTGCCTCGCCAATCGCCCCGCTGTTAACAACACCACCACAGGCTAGCCAACTGCCCTTGGGCGGAGTAACAGGTGTAACGACGTCAGCAGGAGAGGTTTTGGCGCCGCTCCACCAACTGCCACCCACTCCGCCCAAGGCAGCTTCCATTGTGACGTCACCGGTATTGGCCAAGCCGCTTAAAACGGAAAAGAACCACTCGCTGGAGAAGCAGGACTCGTGGTATGTGATGCTTCCTAAATTATATTATTGTTATACTTCAGCTTCCTAGCTAATTGCTTTCTTTGTTCTATTATTCAGCCTTGAAAACGATCTGGAGCTTTCCGATTCGGATGACGACCGTAAGAAGGAGAGGTAAGCCGAATTCCTGTGATGATTAACAACACACAAACTAAATCATCAACATTCTTCCAGTCGATCGGCGGTCAACAGCAGCAACAGCTCAGAGTCGGATTCCAGTGAATCGGGCAGCGAATCAAGCAGTAAGAATGATCTGCAGCACGATCCCAACCACCAGCAGCCGCATCAACAACTGCAGCAGCAGTTATCTATCCAGCAGCAGCAGCAAGTGCTCCAGCAACAGCATCGGCCCCAACCACTGACGTCCAACGGAGCCCAGAATAAGAAGTATAGGCATGAGATCATTGCCCGTGGCAGCAATACGATAACAGGACTGCTCAGCTCCAGTGGATTTGCAAGTAGTGGCAGTGGAGGATCCGGTGTAAACTCCAATGCATCTGTCGCCGCAGGAAGTGGATCAGGCGGAACTTTGAGCAGCGGAGGCAGCTCCTCAAACAAGACACCGTCGCCAACGGAGAGCAACAAGTGGACGCTAAGCCGGTTTTTCCACAAACCAGCCAATCAGACAAACTCCGAAAGCGTCTCGCCCGGCAATGTGAGCATGAAGGTGCCTGGCATCCTGCCAGGGGGCGCCCAAATCATTCCCGAGTCCATTGATGTGACCACGGCGATTGTAAAGAACGAAAAAATCAACGACGATCACATGGATATGGAGGAAGGCGAGGAGGAGGACGACGACGAGGAGCAGCAGCAGCAATTGCGCTATGGAGCTGGATTGAGTGTCACACCGGTGGCAGTGAAAAAGGAGGCCATCGATGCCGTATCGGAGCTGGCACTGGGGGCGATACCAAAAAACCAAATCAAACGCGAGTCGGCGGAGGTGCAGAATGCAGCCCGACTCTCGGATTCCGGGACCAGTGTCAGTGGCAGCTCCTCGAGCAGCAGCAGCAGTTCGGACAGTGCGACTGGTGGCGAGGTGGTGCCCATGCCGGGTCCCGGTGAAACGCTTCAGCTGCCCGGTGTTCCAGCCGCCATCACAACAGTTATGCGAGTGCCGCCACCTCAGTCACAAAAGGCTCCACAGAGCAACAGAGTCACCCTCACGCCTATCCTTCCACTGCCCACGTCACCGAAGCAAAGGCAAAAGAAGCCGCGCAAGAAAAAGCCAGCCACAAGTGCCCCCATTCTTGACTCGAGCGATGACGACGAACCGCCGCCCAAGCATCCTGGTCTGGACCATTCAGCAGTTTCAGTTCAAGCGCAGCCCGCAGCAGATACAGTGAAAAAGGGACGTGGACGACCTCGAAAACAGCAGCAGAGCGGTGGCAGTGGCAACCTCAGTAGTGCATCCGCCGGAAGCAGCTCCCAGACCAAGGGTCCCACGCTTACCGCCGCCAAGAAGCCGCTCGCTAAGACACCTCTAGCCATGAGCAGAGCGAGAAAACGCGACCATTCCAGCCAAAGCAGCTCCAACGGCAACACGCCCACCAAGAAGTTGGCGACGCCCCTGCTGGTCGCCGCCTCCCTTAAGCCGAAGGATGTCCATGCTGGCAGTAGTAGCTCCGACGAGGACAGCTCCTCAAGTGCCGGCTCCAGCTCCAAGTCGAGCAGCTCCTCTAGCAGCAGCGACGACACGGAAACGCAGAACACGAACTGCCGAATAGTCAAGCTGAACAAGACGAACGCAGTTCCGCCGAAGGCGCTGCTGGGCAGCGGGAGCAGTTCGCCGAGCAGCAGTGGCAGCGAACAGGAGGATCAGGCCAGAACGCAGATCGGAAGTGGACAATCGCTTACGCAGCAGCTACCGTCTTACAAACCGCTCCCGGTTAGTCAGCATAGTCAACAGCTTAGCAGTTCCGAGTGCTCTTCATCGAGCGGTGGTTGTGGAGGCGGCGGTGGCGGCAGCAGCAGTAGCGGCGAAGAGGACGAGGCGCGGCGCGAGAAAGAACGCGAACGGAAACCCAAGAGCGACAAGAACAAGATAAACACGCTGACGAGGATCTTTAATCCGAAGGAGGGCGGCGCCAAGAAGCAGGGTCAGGTTGTAATAATGGACCTGCAGGAGGAGCAACAGCAGGGAAAGCTGGATGCGGTGACACAGCCACTACAGGCTCCAGCGGTTGTCGCTGCCAACGTTATTGCGAAAACACGGATGACGCCCACGCAGCAGCAACAGTTGGGAGCCGGCCTAGCTTCTCCAGCGAGAACAACCACACCACACCTTACCTCCTTGATCTGCAAGATCGATTTAAGCAAACTCTCGCGAGAGCGCATCATGCGCCTTAAGAAACTTACGCCCGCACAGCAGAATGGCCATCTGACGCCCAAGGATCAGTCGGCGACAGCAGTTCATGTGCCCAACGGCTATGCCGTCGATACAAATCCCGCGACCAAGGTCAAGCACGAGCATCCAGTGAAACCGGAGCCGGAGCTGGACGCCGGCTATGAGGCCAAATTCAAGCCCAGCAGCGTGAAGCAGGAGTTCCAGCTTAAGCAGGAGCGCGACCGGGACAGGGAAAGGGAGAGAGAGCGGGAGCGGGAAAGAGACCGCGAACGTGAACAACCTCCCGGGCGTCGGCGGAAGCGCAGCTCTAGTTCCAGTTCGAGTCCCTACAAGGAGAAGAAGCGGAAAAAGGAGAAGGCCGACCAGTTACAGATGGGAAAGGAGCTGCTGCCTGTGCCTGTGCTTCTGCCATCTAACAACCACGAGCGAATGCAAAACCATGATCGCTTGTCATACGACAAGCTGCAGCTGCTCCATGAAGACGCGGCCGCCGCTGCAGCTGCTGTTGTTGTGGGTGATGTGTCCGCTCCAAATGGCAGTCCCAGCAAAAAGCTGCTGGCCATGTCACCCCTACCGCCTCCACCGACGGTGGCTACCGTCGCCTTGGTAGCACCCGCCACTTGCAATGAGGCTGTGCAGACAACAGCGCCCTTGGCGACGCCAATGGCAGTAGCAGCCACTGGGGCATCAGTTTTAGCAGTAAGAGCTCCTCCGGCGCCAGTCACGAAGCTTATCTACCGCTCCTACTTTGATCGCGAGGAGGAGCATCCCAGCGACGATCACAGGTAATTATCTCAATTAAGCTTAATTATTATTTTTCGACCACGGTACTAAGAAAAACTCGTTCTTTTTTTATGAATTAGAAAAAACAATCAGTTCCTGCAGGAGGCTATCAATCGAAAACATGCCGCCGACTCGGAGCGCGACTCCTTCAACCAGGTGACTTTGTATTTGGAAGCCGTTGTCTACTTTCTGCTGACGGCCGACGCTATGGAGCGCTGCAGCTCCGAGGCGGCCACCTACACCATGTACAAGGATACCCTGTCGCTTATTAAGTGAGTAAAGTGTGCCAACGTTTGTGCGCCCACCATTACGGGAGTGGTTGGAACTGCCATCAACATTAACATTTCAACAACTTTCAGATTTATATCCACCAAGTTTCGTCCCTACCAACAGTCAACGAACGGGCAGCACGAAACGCACAACAAAGTGGCCATACTCAGGTAGGTTATGGCTTTTACTAACTATAAAGAATAATTAGACATTCTAACAATGACGTTTTTTTTTCCTTCACACAGTTTGCGCTGCCAATCGTTGATATCGCTAAAGTTATATAAACTACGGAGGGCAAACTGTCGCGCCATCATTGCCAACCTCACGGATTTCTTTCGCGTTGGCAGGGGGGACATTGTCAACGGCAACACGCCGTCCTCCATATCACCGTCGAATTCGGTAGGCTCGCAGGTAAGTTTCCCCAGCAGCTTACAATCGAAGAATGCTTTTTAAATGCCGTGTAACTTTGTATTATTAAAGGGCTCCGGTTCGAACACGCCGCCAGGCAAAATAGTGCCTCAAGATATACACAATCAGCTGTGCAAGCAGAATGAGTATCTGAGTTATGTGAGTAGTGCTCACGAGTTGTGGGATCAAGCCGATCGATTGGTACGCACAGGCAATCATATAGGTAAGTTGAAAGTCTTATAACCAGAACTTCATTGATCGATTAATATCATCATTTCCCTGCAGATTTCTTTCGCGAACTGGATCACGAAAACGGCCCGCTAACGCTGCATAGCACCATGCACGAGGTGTTCCGGTATGTGCAGGCGGGTCTCAAGACGCTCAGGGATGCCGTGTCGCATCCGACGCATCAGTCGCAGTAGCGACAGCGGCATCATCAACCGCAAACGCAACGGAATCGGAGACGGAAACACCACCAAACGTGTCTAAATAAAAGTCAGGCCAAATTAGCAACTATTATCTACTACAAGCTACTAATTTAGTTAGTCAACAAAGGAGAAACGAAAGAAAAGAAATCGAAACCAACAACCTTCCAACAAAACGAAGATAACCACAACAAAAAAAACAACACAAGAAATGATTTGTTATTAATTTATAATTTTTATATGTATGTATTTTGTATATGCACACCATTTACTTATTTCCTTATGCTCAATTTTCAATTGTTTTAAGCATGTTAAGCTTTATATTTATGCCTAGTTTTAATTGATATTACCACAAACGAAAAAAAACAAACACACATTACAAGTTATATTAGCTATACGTCTAGTCTGTAAGCTCAAAAACAAATATCCAGCCCCTTTCCAGTCTCACCCCAAAAAACACAAACATTTTAGTTGAATTTTGTTTTTTTTTGTATGCGTACAGTGCACAGGAGGAACGGCTTTTTAAATTGTTTAAGTTTTAGTTAATTTTGCTTTGCAGCCTTGGTAAGGAAAAATGTTAGCAAATATAAATATATATATTATCGCCAATATAAAGAAAAGTTATAGTTATAAATTCTTTGTAATATTTCAATATGAATTATGTTTAATGCAACTATTTTATTAATTTTAAATTAATTTCTTAAAAAGCAATCACAACACGTTTTTAGAACAAAATACATGAATGAAAACAATATATATATAGATTAATATATATTTAAAATATATATATGGAAATGTATCCTTTGTTTGGTTTTATTTGTTTTACCCAACCAACCTGTCCCCAAGATATTCGATTTAATTCATAATGGGTGCCTCAAAACTCTCACACAGACGCAACAACTAATAGTGCATTAGTAGACTTAAACGAGTTAAAAATCAATCGAAATAGACTTGCCCTTGAAATAGATATATAAGCTGTACATATAGCCGCCGATATACAAGAAATATATTTTTAAATGCCAAAAAAACGGAATGATGTAAACTACTTTAAGCCGATTGCAATCGGCAGGATTTGGGATAGGATAGGTTGGTAGACATATGTATGAACATAATGGGCATATATAGAGGGATCGTTGAGTTAAACAGTCAGCATTTTCTCGTTGACTCATTTTTGGCATATAGAAAAATCGAAAACTACGAAAATCAAAGTAAAACTGTAACGAAAAACAAAACAGAAAGCAAACAACAATTAAAATGATTATTAAATTATTATTAATAATGGTTCTGGGGAAACAAAGCATTCGCATTCAACAATTGAAATGGAAAACAAACATTTAAATTATAGACAAATTTTAAGTTGCCACTAAAGAATGCCGATGGAGAATATGCGCAATTTTATTGTGCAATGCAATTAAGTGTAATTATTATAAATTAATACACATACATATGTATTGTTAATAATTAAAACGCTGTAAATAATACAATTACGTAGACAGGAACACTCGGACACACACATGCATATAATTAAATTAAACATAATTACATGCATATTTATACACACTTATATATGGGTATATATAAAGATATATAAATATATATATTTTTATATATATACACGATGAATAAAACTAAACCAACGTAGAAATTATAGTTAAATTTTTCAAAACGACAAGATTAACTTGCAGCAATATGCAACCGACAACAACAAGAACAGTAACAACAAATACAACAAACGAAATGCGCCTAGTAATAGTTAATAATTATATTTTGTTAAGCGTTATTGTAGTGAAACAAAGCAAGCAGGCAGATCGAACAGCAAAACCAACAGAATTAAGTTTTAAGCTGAACATTTGAAAAGCAAGGCGAGAAGAAAACCAAAATAAATGCAAAACAGCAAGTTGTTCATAAACAAAACTAGAAGTAAATATATATTTTGTACAAATATAATTAAATTCAGCCGCAGCTAAAACCAAGTACACTTATTAAAGTTTAAGCAACAACAAACAGAAACAACCAATTTAATATGCAATTACCGTAACAGTAGTTGATAAATCAAACGAATAAAACATCAAAAATTGTAACATTTACATATCTTTCTATAGTTTTATTTTCTAATTTCAGGGGTGTCGTGTTGTAGAACTTAAAATTATTAATTTTTTATATAGTTACGGGAATAAAGTCCACTTTTTGTTTTTGCCTTTCAACATCTCGTACTTTTTAATTATTTTATAGTATGGTCAAGTATCAAGTTACAAGGGGAAAACAAGTTAGCTAAGATCATCTGTTTCAATGCAACTAGTCTACCCGTTTTAAAATGTTTTAAACTTTTGAAGTTGCCCTTTTTAAAAACAATTTTTTCTTGAGGTATGCAACACATTTTAGTAAGATACAAGTTATTTTTGACGCACGAATCAGTACGAATTAATCATCATAATAATACTTTTTTATTTGATTATTTTTAAAAGCGTGTAAAAATCCTTTATTAACAATTCTTTATCGTGCAGTGTTGATAAACCACCAAATGATCTTAAAGCGCTGCCAACCCAGCTCAAAGTGTTCGGTTTGCTTACAACACCGAAAAGCTGCAAGCGTGAGATCTGTTCCTGGAAATATTTTTCGCATATTTTCCGAACCCAAAGAGGCTGTTGTTAAACCGTAAGGTAATTTGCCATTTCATTGGCTTAAGTGCTACTATGTCCAATCAAGAGCACATTTTGAATGTAGACAAATCAACAAAGTACAGTCGCAATAAACGCAGGCGTTTCCAGCGCCAACGATCCAAGGTGCTGGCACAAATCCCAGCCCTAACTAGAAAAGAACCTGAAACTATGGACTCCGTTTCTATTCGACAAAGGAAACGCCGCTTTAAGAGCCACGTTTCTGAATGCATCAGCGAGGAAGAGGTCGCCATTAAAAGGGAGTTGCAAATGTCCGAAGAGGTTCCAGTTAAGTGTTGGAATATGGAGGAAAAGGACACTGCTTCCGCACAATTTTCTTTAGGTTCAAAATTCCAGAACCCCAAGGAGCCCTTAAGTTTGAACCGAGCACCATATCATGCCCAGCCCTGGAAACAACCAGTACTATCATCGGCTATGCACCAATCAAACCAAATTGGAAATTTCCAAACCAAACTTTTTTTTAAAAGCCAAAATCTACTGAAAAGTGGGCAAGCCAAAAATGATTTGACGCATTGGAATTCTGGAATAACTCAACATCGCCAGCATGGGAACGTTCCAGTAAGATCAGGAGCAGCTATCCATCAAGATGTGAATCGATTACAGCAATTTACAAGTCGAAATTTTAACCCACATCAACAGTGGAACGCAAATATAAATTATCAATTTCCAACCGGATATTCGGCGTCAGTTCAACATGGGAATCCTGGAAGTCAGTACCTTGGCCCTTCGATGGGATTCAGAAATGGTGGTATTTATCAACACCTACCTCCGTTTAGGCAATTAAACAACAAAACGTAAGGTAAGGGGAAACAATTTTTACCCAAATATATGTTCAATAATATCAGCGATATTTAAAAACTCCATTTTTTTGATCCAAAATTTAAAATATATATAAAAAACAAATGTCTTTATAACATATTGTTTTTCTACCTTGCTTGCTCGAATCAAATGAGTATTCTGAAGGTGTGAAATCATTTTATTCTGACAATTTACAAGGAAAACTTGAGGCAATTTAAAGCCTAATATATTCAATAGAACTTAATAAAAAAAGGTAAAATATAAAATAGATAAAAAAAAAGCAAAGTCAAGTGGTAATTTTATTTGTTTTTCTGACACTGCTCAAATTATCAAAGTTAAGTTACCAATAGTTTTGGACGCACTGCTCCCAGCGATAGTTTCGAAAGCATTGGGTTTCATCGCCTGAGCATAAATAAATGCGCGTCCGTTTGGGTGGGTGGGTTGTTGTTATTGTGCACAAACAGCAACAAAACAAACCACATAAATAAGGAGAGCGAGGGATTGTTGCATACTTGTGGGCACCGCGGTGGGGTTGGGGGTTCAGATGGGCCATTCCGCTCGCAGAGTTCAATGGTCTTTTGACACAAATGATGTCAAGTTGAGCTCCCGCTCCCAAGCTCTCTATTTTTCTCTCTTTGTGGATGCCAAGCCCCTCTTGCCACCTCCATCGACTTTCAGTCAGCTGCCCCTTGGTTGTTGTTGTTTAAGTGTTTGTTTGGGTGCCTTTTTGGCTCTCAGCCGGCTTACGGTTCTCGGCTCTTTCACTCTTTTTGGGGCTCGCTCTCTCCTGAATGGAGAACCTACCGCAATTCGTTTCGTGTTCACGGCTGCATTTCCTTGTTTATGTTTTGCGAAGGCGAAATGTAGGGTACATCGGTTAAGTGCCGAGCCGAGAGAGAGCGAGTACCGTTATGTTGTCAGAGCTGTTGCAGCCTGCGCAACTTGCGGCTGCAGCTTTTTATTATTTGCAATTCCTTTGACTTCGTATTCTTCCTCTTCCCCCTATTAATTTTCGTGTGTTACAATGGGACAACTTGTATAATGGTAGTCACAGCCCACCTAGGTCCTAATACTTACATATGTATGTATCTTTTTATTCTAAAGTATGATAAGTATGTGCAGATTAAGTAAGTGCAGATTACTTATCATACTTTACAATAAAAAAGATATTAGGACCTAGGTGGGCTGTGACTACCATTTTTTATATTTTTTGACGAGGAAAGGGGCGTTTTTAATTCCAAAAACTATAACAGAATTTTGAAGTTCACGAAACCAAAAATCGAAATCTTGAATATAAATGGCCTCCTAGGGTCTCATTTTAATTTTCGTTCCCAGATATTTGCCCCACTGTACATGCCAGTGCAAAACTACGCAGTTATGCTGTGCATAGGCCCCTCTTTCCCCCTGAAAACTCTCTACCGCTCCCCCGGGCCCCCTCTTTTAAAACAGTACTCAACTGTACGCCAATTGGAGGAGGAGCTGCTGCTGCAGCCGACGACCGCGACGCGGCAGCGCTGTCGCGGGTCCTGGCTGCAGTTATCCTGGCGGCAATCGAACACTTTAATCATTTAGTTCTTGCACTCTCCGGCAGCAAGTTGTGTTTTTTGATTCTCGTCGTATTGTCGTCGTTTCTGAATTGTTGTATATCGGTATCAAAAATACACACATCTTGCATACTTACGCCACTACGCCCACATATGTACATTCATATGTAAATGCACGTAGTGTTCAAAATACATCGGAATCTGTTCAAAAACCCTTAGTGTGTGCGTGCTAAACTTAGTTTTGAAACACTCATTTGCAACGAAGGAAATTTTTCAGTTTTTTTCACCACAGAGTTGTGAAAATTGGTGTGGTATACTTTGCGGCGCTGGCAAATAAAAGTAAGCAAAGAGGAAGACTGCAGCGGAAATAGTTACAGCACAATATTTGTCTTGTACCGTGGAAAGTTGAAAGTGCCCACACCCAAAGTCGATTTTTCGCCTTGCATATGTGCAAGTGTGTGTGCGAATAGTAAAACGGGACTCAATGGGGGCTCACAGTCGGCGAAATCTCAATTTCTCTACACTCTGATATATATTTGCCGCCTACACACACACCCAGCAGCATTTCGTGCAGCGCCGGCATCAAATTTTTTTTCGCTGCCTGCAGCCGCCATTTAACCTAAAAAACGCTGCACAGGAGCGCACTTTTAAAAGGGGGGTGGATCCAAATTCGGTCCAAATAGATTTTGGGGCGCTTTTTTGCCTTTTCTAAAAATTTAAATTTTATTCTTATACTTTCGACGATTTTTGTTGTTTTCTATTTCCATATTCAAATAATTTAAAATATACACTAGACACTAGGCTTAGAAATATAAATGTGTAATATATAAACTACGATTTCCTTTAATACTTTAGAAAAAAAATAAAAGTCTTTTCAAATTATGTTGCTTTTATGATTACCAATTTGTTGTTGACTATAAATTTAAACCCTTTTTTGCGGGAACCGTGTATTTATAGACCGTCTATTTTTTGTATACTTTTTTTGTTATTTTAAAATGTAATTTATTATCTGAGTCCCTGATCACGGGGCTCCCCTCCGAACCGACCCTGCTTCGGCAGCGCAGTCAACGTGGACGCTAGCTTGCAGTTCAGTTCGCTCTCAGAGCTTGGTTTCTCTCACTCTCTCGAGCTCTTTCCATTGCATATCTTGTGGCGCGCTCAGCTGACTGCTGCGCTTCCGCTGCAGCCTGCGCTCTTACTCTCTTTCTCTGTCTATATCTCCTGTTTATTTTTGCCGCACCCAAATGCAAGCGGCCTCAGAAATCGTCCTTAGATGTTCCGCCACTTTCTTTAACCCTTCCTTCGCTTAGCACTTCGTTCTCTCTCCTTGTATCCTTTGCCAAGGTGTGTCACTTTTTTGTTTTGTTCTTGCCCTTTGAATGCGTCTTCCTTTCCATTCCTATCAAAGTGTGTCTACCTGCATAAATATGTAAAGCAATCATATCCATCAATTAGCCGGAAACAATTTTCAACTATTTATGAATGAAAATTAATGGTTGAAAGGTGTGCTCGGACGGCCAGGGAATCAAGGAGGATTGCAGGATTCTTACTAGCTTTTTAAATTACCAATTGAATTCGCTTTAGATTTAGCAATCTCCGCAACTTAATGTTATGATGTGCCTTAATTTTAGTGAACTATATATGGTCGTTTTAGGGAATATTATTTAAATCATTGTAATTTTAAAAAAAGTGTCAACACATTTACAATAATAGTAAGATTTAAAAGGTATTTCAATTAAAAAAACGTATTTTGTAAATACCATCAGGTCGGCCCACTATATCCTCCAGTTGTCATAACATTCCACTTCTATTTGACGTTCTTGAATAAACAGTACAAAAAAACATCACGGACAAATGTTTGTAAAGGCTTTTTACCAACTGTTTTGCAAAAGATAGCCACCATGAGCTTTACATTAAAACAGCTGTTTTTGAAACAAAAACTGCACTCGGAGTCAAGCAGAAACTCTTCCGAATTCAAATTTTAACAAGTTCCCATAAAGCAATTTTAAAAATACTGTGCCCGAAATGTGTATGTTTGTGCAAAATCCAATTATAAATTACCTCCGCCGTCGACCATCTCAGGGATCCACGTTACGGATATATATGTATAAACACTATAGCAAACATATAGTCGTGTAAGTTCTGATCCATTCCCATCGGGATTTCTCTTCCCTCGAACGGGCAAAGAGCAGACGACAAGTTCTGGCCAAGAAGTTTCCTCTCTCTCGTTTTTCCTCTCGGTTCTCTCCCGATTCTTGGACATATAGTACCATACTACTCGCCCCCGTCAGTGGGGCATAAAAATAATTTCCACGCCGCTCGGCAAAACAGTTTATTTCTGTTCTGTTGAGTTGCAGGAACGCGTTCTTTTCTACTTTCCGTTCGGTTTTATTTCCTTATTATTATTGTTATTACGAATTAGTTTCACGTTTCGGTTTGGCTTGGTTTTTCCTTTTTTTAACGGCACACAATCAACACAATTTGATAAATAATATTCCAGAAATTATTTGCTTCGGTTATTTGTATGAGTATAACTTTTCCGTTTGTCTCGCTTTTTGTTTTGTGGAGCGCTTTCCCGTTCGGTTTCGTTTGCTTCGGTTATTAATAAAAATATAAAAACCAATAATATCCCCTGAAAATTGTTTCGTAATCGCATTGAAACATTGATATCAGCAAAGTGTCTAATTCGATTTGCCTGGATACAATTCAAAGGTAACCCAGGGGATTTTGCATGACTTCCCTTCTTTATGTAATTGGAAAAATATTTCAAGATATTGGCATTTTTCTGAATCACTTGCTCTTCTCTCTGCCAACAAACTAACCTCAAACACAAGACGTCAGCAACTCACATCAGCTGCGATCTGGCTGTTGTTGTTTTAAAAATATTTTCGAAAATATAATCTTGCCGGCAACGCAGCGGCGCAATTCTTCGCTCTTGTGCCTTTTCACACACATCCCACCATTTGATTGTTTATTTTTAAAATATAATTTTTTCGCACGATTTGCGGCGGTGAATGCAACAAACTGCCCAGATAAATTGAAAATTTTGAATGAAGGTGGAGCAATCTGCTCTAGATTTTGCGGCACTTTGGACAATAATAAATGTTTTAGTAGATTTTTGAATACACTTAAAGGGGCATTTATAAATTATAGATTTTTTTATTTAATGTTGACGCACTCAGAAATATGTTTTATGTTTTTAAGGGGAACAAATAAATTATGATTTTATTTTATTTTGATCCGTTTAAAGCATTTATTAAATAGCATTAATAATAAGTTGCTATCTACATGTACATATGTAGATACTTATTGCGTGCCACAATCATAAATGCCAATTTGAATGTGGGCTAAAAATACTTTTCTGTTTTTGGCCAATATGTTGTTTGTGTATCAAGAAGCAGATATGCTTAACTAACGAGGTATAAAAACAACAAGGAAATAAACCATACGTCAAATAGTATTTTTAAGCTATAAACAATGACACCTTCGCATTGTTCGAATCCAAATGCTTTTTATTTATTCATTCATAATTTTATTCACTTTCAATGACTTGACTCAAAAGGCTTCTACATATATAGTAAATTATAAGTGTACCAAGGACTTTCAAGAGAAAGTTTATATGTTTTTTAGTTATATATCTTATTTTACGAAAGAGTTACACTTTTAGCGTCAAGATATAATTAATCAAATTAGGAAAACAAGGTCGTAAAAAGTAAAAAGGTTATTTAATTTAATAACATTAACCAAGCCAAAAATTTTACTAGGCCTTCAATTCAATTACTCTTCAAAAGGGGGCTATTTTAATTGCATCGATTTTTCAGTCAATACTTGGGTATTTTGGCCTTATTTGCATTCAGTCAGTCTGTTAGTTTGCCAGCCAACCAACAAATTTGCCAACCACAGAAGCGAAGAGCTCTCGACATTTGTATGGGTTTATTCAAAATGTTTACTCTTGTTATTTCCCCCATTTCCGAGAACTGGAGGGGAATAGGTTTTAACAGACCCGCATTTCATTTAAATTAAATTAAAATAATTGATTTTTATTGTAACTTTGTTTTTCCTTCTATTTCTTGTCTTTCAGTAATCTCTTTGGCATACCATATATCTTTTTTGTAGTGGATATCATTGGCGATGCGCTTTTAACTGTGCTATAGTAAGAGCTAGGATCAGGCAGCATTTTGTTACCCGCGTCAGCATCTGAAAAGGGTAAGCAAAGCTTCAAGATAACCAATTTGGATTTTAATGTAATCTTAATTATTCCTTTGCAGACTTCACAGCAGTATTATATCTACAGCCACATTTTTGATTTACTCACCATCTCTATTTCTGTCTATTGAGCAAGTTTATCCGAAGAAGAAAGCCGTAAAGTTGATAGCTTTTCTAGTGAATCGCGGTCACAGTAATAGCACAGCCAATCCTAGTTGTAGACTCTTTTTCAGTAATTTTCAATATTCATATTTATGATCAAAGATTTTAAATGAAATGTTTAAAAATACATTTTGTGATATTAGTTTGACCGCATATGTAAAATGCATTAAACCGTTTGAGGGACTTACTCGCTTGTGATAAGTTAAGAAATACACCTGGTTTTTAATAAGGAAATCCCTTTTGCACCAGTTTCCGCACCATGGTCGAGGGTCAGACAGCCGTGCAACAGCAACAACCATCCGGCGGGGGCAATGCTAGCGGCGTTGGAAGCACCACCGGATCCGGCGGGGGACCGACTCCTGCCAACAATGTGACCAATAGCCAGGCTCAAACGAATGGAGGTACAACTGCGGTAACGACTGCGGCATCGGGCACTGGATCCACAACAAATACGACCGGCCAGGCCACTGCTAACAATGCGTCGAACAACAGCAACAATAGTAACAACAACAATAACAACGCCACGGCAAACAACAACAATAATGAACCAGACCCCAAGACCAATTTGATTGTGAATTACTTGCCTCAGACAATGTCGCAGGACGAGATTCGTTCGTTGTTCGTCAGTTTCGGTGAGGTAGAAAGCTGCAAGTTAATACGCGACAAAGTTACAGGTGAGATATTAATAAAAACCAACGCAAACTTACAATTTAAAAAGAAACGAACTGCAATTGTTACTTTTGCGTTTTGTGAATTCAAAATTTTTAATTAATTCCTGGTTAGCCTTTTTAAACGCCAAAGTTAAACATTTAATTTCTTCATAAATGAATTTTTTTTTATTTTGTTATTCTTGCATAATATTTCCCCTTAATTGCAGGTCAAAGTCTGGGATACGGTTTCGTCAACTACGTTAAGCAAGAAGACGCCGAAAAGGCAATCAATGCGTTGAATGGCCTGCGGCTGCAGAACAAAACCATCAAGGTCTCCATTGCACGACCCAGCTCCGAGAGCATCAAGGGTGCCAATCTCTATGTATCGGGTCTTCCAAAAAATATGACACAGTCGGATTTGGAATCATTGTTCAGTCCATACGGCAAGATCATAACCTCGCGTATTCTTTGTGATAATATCACTGGTGAGTTGTGATAATAGACAGAGAAGAGAATATATGGTAGATATCGATAGTTATAATAAGAATATAAAAGGACAGTCAAAGGAATCCGTTTGTTAATGGATTTTCGATTGTTGTAGTCTTCTTTAAAAAAAGCATGCCCAACTAAAATGATAAACAAAATAATAGTCTTTTGGCGTAATTTTAGTCTATAGCCTGCACAATTTAGTTTCTATTTTTGCTGGCGCTCCACAATATATTCTCAATTTTAATTAGTGAATTATAATTAATGCAAATTTTATTTACAATTTTATTTTTACATGTAATACCAAATAAGATGAACATGCGCCGGGTATGTTTTAATTTTTCTTATGTTTAACTATTTTCCACTGCTGTTCATCGCTCATAATATGACACTTATTATTTAATTTAAAAAGGAATAAAATGAACCTCTGCAAGTGCTTAAATAATAAACCAGACATTTACAACACATTGAGATGTAAAAAACACATATTTGTTTATACAAATAATAGATTCATTTCTTTCGTCTAGAGAGTGATATGAATCTTTTTTTAGTACATTTTTTTTCAATCTTTTCTTTCAATATGTGGTTAACTTCTGGTCAATAATCCGAATTTGTTGCCTTGCACGAGTATTTGCAGCTCACGTTCCTTATTAAATCTTCATTATCGAATAGTAATGCATGGCACACAAAATATTAAAGATCTCTTGCATTCGCATTGCTTCTGATTATTTGCATCCGCTTCACATTTGCCTGCATACTGACCTTTTTGTTGGTTTCAGGTCTCTCCAAGGGCGTTGGCTTTATACGCTTTGATCAGCGATTTGAGGCCGACCGGGCCATTAAGGAGCTAAACGGCACAACTCCGAAGAATTCCACCGAACCGATAACCGTTAAGTTCGCCAACAATCCTAGCAGCAATAAGAACAGCATGCAGCCGTTGGCAGCCTACATAGCGCCCCAAAACACGCGGGGCGGTCGAGCATTTCCGGCCAATGCTGCAGCCGGAGCGGCAGCCGCCGCCGCTGCAGCTGCGATTCACCCCAACGCGGGCCGTTACAGGTCAGGAACTACTGTGGGAGGCAGCTTACTTGTTTTAAAAACTCCGTTCATCTAAGACATATAATTAAATTAATTAAGAAACACACTTTTCAAAATGTAATTAAACATATTTTCTTTACACCGCAGCTCTGTAATTTCGCGCTACTCACCGTTGACCAGCGACCTGATCACCAATGGCATGATCCAAGGCAACACCATTGCAAGCTCCGGCTGGTGCATTTTCGTCTACAACCTAGCGCCCGAGACCGAGGAGAATGTGCTGTGGCAGCTGTTTGGGCCATTTGGGGCAGTGCAGTCAGTCAAGGTAAGCTTTGTGTGCCAGCAATCTATTTCGATCCTAAAATGGTTTGAAGCTTGCTATACAATACAAGTATTATTCAGTTAGTTATCTTTGCGATCCCCCTAAAACTGAAAAAGATTAAAAATATTAATCTGCTTTGGTGATTAAAATTGATAGAAATTAATTTTTCCCAAGTAGTTTTAATTGGATCAGAGATACACAACTATAAGAACGTTTAATTTATTTTATTTTGTTAGGTTATTCGTGATCTACAGAGCAACAAGTGCAAGGGCTTTGGCTTTGTCACCATGACAAACTACGAAGAAGCGGTCCTGGCTATTCAGTCCCTAAACGGCTACACACTTGGCAACCGGGTGCTTCAGGTCAGCTTCAAGACCAACAAGAACAAGCAAACGTAATTATTATCCAAGTTGGCTGCTGTTGTCAATGCCAATGCGGCGGCGGCGGCTTTCGCGGCCAATGGTATAGTCCTCCACAATCATCACCACCACAGCAATATCGGAAGCATCAACAACAATAATAACGGCAGCAATGGCTGCAACACAGCAGCCTATCAACTTGGCAAATACTTTAACCACAGCAACAACAGGCAGCACAACATCAACATAAACACTAGCAATACCAGCAAACAGAAGCAAGCGAACTTGAGCAACAAGCAACAATCAATGGCGCCACCTAAGAGATTAGCTAGCATCACTGCAGCAACAACAGGAGATGTGGCGGCGGTCACAACAGCCACACACAACAGAAGCAGTAGTCCCTCACTGTCCAGTGGCGATGCAGGAGCCTCTGCCACCGCCGCATCCTCCTCGTCGTCGTCGAGCAACATACTAAAAACATCCACGAAATTCATTTACAACAAGCCGCAGAATCAGTACGAGTTGCTGCAGCAACAGCTGCAACTGCAACAGGAGTTCGCCCAGTTCTTGACAAATGTGGCCAACAGCGCCGCAACACCACCCAGCAACAGCTCAACCGGCTCGGGAAATCAGCGCAATGGAGGAGGAACCATCGGCATGGGTCTGGGAATGACGGCCAACCATTCAAGCGGTGGTGGTTCGGGCAACAAAAACAGTAACAGCAGCAATGGCTATATGCCCACCTGGTCTAATTGGTTCTTTTAAACTTTATTTTCGTTAGTCATCAGCCCACTTCATTGATTCTTTGTAGATTTAGGCAACGATTTTTCAGTTTTGCTTATTTGCACTAAGTTTGAAGGATCGCAAAACCCTTCGAATCGGCAAAAAAATGGAATGGTTAATTTTTGGAGTTTTTTTATTTTGTTTGCCAGTGAATTATAAGTAACTATCACTTAAAAAAATAAGTTTATTTTTTTGATTAAGTTTTGAAGAACAGTTTTTTTAATTTTTGCATATATGTTTTATTGATCATAGATTGAATTAAATTTGTAAAACTTAACTTTTCGTTGAACTTTTAAAACGTCTAGTCGACTCTCGCAAAGAGAAAAGCTTCCAGAAAGAGAAGAAAAGGTAAAGCTGTAGTTAAGTTTTTGTTTGATATGTAGAACAAAAAGAGCATACTCTACGGATATTTTTAAACAGAGAATAACACATACAAATGGCAGGCATAGAAGCCCCAATCCACCAAAGAATAAAAAAATAAAAAACTTGACAAATATTTAAGCTATAAATAAATGTATAAAATGAGATACGAAAACAGAACTGAATGCGTAAACAGATAGAAGCGTTTGGCTTATAGGCAAACCACTTTGCAAACAGACAATGCAAAATGAGGAGGAAAGCTAGATGCGAACAACCAAACATAGCAAAACAAATAAGACACACACGTGTTTATGTTTTATAAATTTAATGTATAACTTTTGCTAAAAATAAATGATGTATGCATAATATTACAATTAAACCTTTTATTCTCTATTAACATTTGTTCAATTGCCCAGTAATTCTTCACCTAGCCACTTTCATATGTTATTCATTACCTATCTTTCAGTATAAAGCATTAATATAGGCTCTCAAATCTTGGTAGTATCATTAGCGTGAAATCGAGTGAGCAAGTAAGCGACAAAAAAAGAGCTGATAGTAAGGCACACATGAGAATTTCTTCAAATACAACGAATAAATATTTAAGAAAATTTGAAAAAAAGCCAGTGGAAATATAATACCTGTCGGATCAGAGAGAGAATAATAACAAAAATCAATCAACGATTGTAAAGCTTTTACAAAAGCCAGCTAAATAATATAAGCACGCCACTCAAATCGAAGTTAATGTAACTAAAGACAAAGATCAGAACAAAGTCCCTCCCTAGACAAACAAGCGACAAAAAAAGAAAAGAAAATAAAGCAAGATGTACGTAAATAGATGACAAAACGCGTTTCAGCCTAACGAATTTGTTTAAGCCCAACTCAACAGCAATAACATAAACTAAAAATGAAACGAACAAATTAAACAAATTGCCAAACTAAATATAGCAAATTTTAGATCACAAAAATGGACATGAATATGGAAAGTGTGAATTGAGCTGATATAATGATTGGAGTTTATGGAGAGCCCTGCAAAGACATATATAGAAAGGATATCGATATCATGGTGCTTCACAGAATTCCTTTTAAAATAAATAAATTTCTTAAGAGTCCTTACAGATAAGAGGATTTTTTTTTAACATTTAGTTTACACTAAATGGCTTGGGAAACTAAGATATCTTTTGTTATTCCCTGATTTATTAGTTTTTATTTGTAACTTACAGAGTCTCTGAAAAGGAAAAATCGAAATGTTACACGACATTAACTATGCTATATCTCTCTAAAAAATCTATAACTATTTATGAAAACTATTACATATGATTAACAATATATTGATGTTGTGTATTGCAAATTTTAAATGTATACATACAAACATACCAAGGAAATTATTATGAATACTTCATGGCATGCATTAACAAAATCCATTTTCATGTATACGTCAAGTAAATTTATTGCATACTATTTAAAACTAATTACCATGAAGAAATTATATATACAAATATATATACTACACATATATCGTTATGGAAACGGTTGCGATTATTAGCTAAATATGGATGTGTGTAAAGCATACAAAATCGGAACGCCAATATTTGTAGAGCTCAAAAGCTTTTTCTCCCCTAATCCTCTTAAATCTACTAGAAAAACCAAGAAAAAATGAACCCTCACATTACTCACACTCATGCGCAAAAGCTTGACTGAAAATAAAATATAAATTCTGGCTTTTAAGCGGTAAATTAGAAATAATACCTTCCAGCAAGTCTCAAAGCAAGTTCAAGAAAACCTAAAAAGAAATATAAAGACAACACCAAATAAAATGTTTTTTATACAAGATGTAAAAAATTGAAGCACAATTTTTTGTGCATATGTGTGGCACAGGGGAATAGCAGACATGAATAGACATGCTTAGACATGATATCCAGTCATACGCAAATAAGTGAATGAAAAGCATGAACAACAACAAAAAGCAATCGATTATATACATTTTTTAAGATGAAATGTTTTATAAATTATAAATACAAATGGAAGAAAACCAAGAAAGTATTTTAAAAAATTTAAATATATACATGAGTACTATATACAATATATTATATTATATATACCTACATATTAAATACTTAATGGGTATGGTAACGAACAAAAACACCGCACAATAATATACAAAACAAAACGAAATCGAAGAAGGGAATGACACGTCAAGCGAGGAGAAACATACGTAAAAAAAACAACAAATACCAGAAAGTTAAACTAAATGCAGAAAAGACTAACGAATCGAGAAAACTATGAAACCAGCAAATTTATAATTTTTACATGGAAAACGCAATAATGTTAACATTTGAAGAAGACGAAAACAAAGCGCATATCTTGAACAAAATGAATGAGTACTCGAACTCAAATTGATGAGGGATCTCAAGCAACGGAACTAAATCGAAATACACAAAAAGTCGACAAGTTACCACAAATTTTAACTACCAAGTGAATGGCTTAATAACTGCACACTTTTATACTTTTACACCAAAACAAACGAAACAAAAGCAAAAACCAAAGACGTATGTATGTATGTATAAATGGCGACCGATCGTTTCACCGTGCAAAGACTTTTCTCGAGGAACCTTCGTGTTTGAGTTTTGTAGCCAATAAGGTTGTGCAAATGCCTGCAGACGCAACCGAAACCGGAAGTCTGCAGAGCGCCCTCTTTTAGCGAAATGCAAACGGTGAAGCGGCAGCTCTCAAACAAACATAGTTTCTGCACTTGCAACCGCTGCACCGTTTACAACCAGCTAAAAATGTCTGTTTCTCTCACACAGATCACACATACCCCACAACAGACACACTCTCTTTACCCACTAGTCTCACTTAAATGAATGTTGAATAGCAAAGAAACCAAGAAATACTACGAACAACTCGTGTGAAATCGATATGAAAACCTAGCCGTTGCAATCTATCTGAGAAGTGTATTTGTGACTTTTAGGTGTAGCTATATACGAAGAACTGGCGCCCCAAGATCTGTTAAATTTTCAATGGAGAATGCCATTGTACTAGGAAAAACTCGCTGCATTCACACTTTCCCTAATTTAACCTGTATGAAAGTACTACAAATTGGGTTTATAGAGTCTCCTGGCCCAGATCTTTGTTTAAGCTGCAGCATCCTTAACAAGACCCGGCTATCGATCATATTAAACGGACACGAATAGCATTTTGTAGTGAAAATCATCAGTAAGTTGCGGACGGAAAGACGCTCTTTATATATGTTTAAATGTTCAAGTAAGAAATGGAAACACTTATAATATATTATAAATTAATTAAAACCAAATCTTAGTCGAAACGAACTTAGTCAAAGGTACTAATTTTAAGCACTATTGTTAAACGCAAGTCAAAGGCAACGGATGAAAAAACACTTTAGCCAAAATGGAAACAAAAATATTGAATCTTAACAGAACTCAGAAACTCTAGTGGCATTCGCTCTTTCAAGCTCAACATAAGTTAATGAACGTATTGAATTCCACATAACACATTATAATAATTCAAAATAATTTATATTTGTCTATCGGTTAGCTTGCATACATTAGCCACATATTACATATGCAAAACTATGCAAGTTTCTTTCTCGTCGTTAAAAAAAAAACATAGTCAAAATATTGGTGGACAGTATCGTATTGTAGTAGCAAATATGTATTTATCTTTAATCATCACAGAACAAATCTTAAAAAAATTATTCCAATTTAATTAAAGTGCATAAATTGTATATTGAATTACTGTCGAGTTCTCTCATATGGACACAAAACCTTAACGATTTTCTTAAAATTTTCATTAAATTACTTAAAAGACAAAAACCAAGAAACCGAAACAAAGAAAAATCACAATATTAAGTGCGGAAAATGTCAAGCAAATTTATATAGCATATTTACGGTATACTCTGTGCAAGATTTATTAAGAATCAATTATACTTCATTATGGATTACTCTGAGAATTTACAAACAACAAACACACACTACACACGATGAATGAAAGCAACAATTTATTCAAATAAAGCTATGAAATGATGTGTTTAAAAAAATTCTACGTGGAATATCTTCATTTCTTAGTAAGGGCGGTCAAACATTTTTTAGAAACTAAATTTTTTATTTCCTCATATAATTTCATTATCTAGACCCTGGCATTAGGTATAAACAGTACTCAATGTTTATAAATTTTGAGAAGTTTGTAAAATAGTAAAGAAAACATTTTAGACCCTTTAAAGAATATTAGTTCTTGATCGGGATCACTATGCTAGTTGATGTAACCATACAAAATGCGAAAATCGGCTATTTTAATAAAAGATTTATCGACTCCTACACGAATTAGTAAAACAAAACGACTCAATTAAAGTAAACTAGGAGGAAAGAAAACTTCGATAAGCCGAAGTTTATACACCCTTTCAGCTATTCCAAAAATGAAGCTAGTCTCCCTTCTAGTTTTTTATTAGTAGTTTATTTTTTATTTTTGAGAAAACCGATCAGAATTAAATTTTTTTCAGTATAAATTTAGTAGTTTAAATTTCGCTTATATCTTTTGGTTTATGTAACTTAAATACGAATTTATGACGTTTTAAGGAATTCTTTAACGATTGATTAATAATACGACCAATTATTTTAGAATGTTTGATAATAGTACGATTTTCAAACCCATTTAAATGGCCATGTCCATCTTGATCGTGGGGTAGGGATTATAGTCGACTATCTCAAAGTCCTCGAAGCGGAAGTCTTCGATGTCCTGCACCTGGCGCTTGATCACCAGTTTGGGGAAGGGTCGCGGCGTACGCTTCAGTTGCTCCTTTAATGGGTCTACGTGATTCAGATAGACGTGGGTATCGCCAAACGTGTGCACGAAGTCGCCAGGCTTCAGACCCGTAACATGAGCGATCATGTGAGTGAGAAGGGCGTAGGAGGCGATGTTAAAGGGCACGCCCAGGCCCATGTCGGCGCTCCTCTGGTACAGCTGGCAGGAGAGTTCGCCGCGCGTCTGGGAGACGTAGAACTGCGCTAGGCAGTGGCACGGCGGCAGCGCCATCTTCGGTATGTCTACTGGATTCCAAGCTGACATGATAATGCGCCTATCCGAGGGATTCTTCTTGATGGTGTCGATTACCTGACGCAACTGGTCGATGCCCTTTCCAGTATAGTCGTCCTCGCAGGTGCCATACTCTGCGCCAAAGTGCCGCCACTGGAAACCATACACCGGGCCCAGATCGCCGACAGCGCGCTCCGTGTGCCCCAGATTGTCCAGGAACTCCCTGGTGCTGTTCCCGTCCCAGAAGTGCACTTTCTTGGCCTGCAGCAGCTTGGCGTCCGTTTTGCCGGCCACAAACCAGAGCAGCTCTTCGGCCACACCGCGAAAAAAGACGCGCTTGGTGGTCAGTAGAGGAAAGGACTCTCTCATGTTGAAGCGCATCTGGCTGCCGAACACGGACAAAGTGCCCACTTTGGTGCGGTCTGTGCGCCGCTCTCCATTTGCAATGATGTGCCTCAACAGGTCCAGGTACTGCTCCTCATCCCGGTTAATCGGCGTCTGATTCTTTTCCTCGTCCTCCAGCGCCAACGGCTTCGTCGGCGTATCGTTTTGATCTTTTTTTGGTGACACAACCATTTCGGAAATGTATATTGGTGGCAAAAACTTCAGAATGCATTAAAACAGGCGGGAAAATAATATGATGGCTCCGACTGGCAAAACAGCGGTTTCGAGCGAATTGGCAGGAATCGAATTTATCGATATTTTTCCGTTTTATTTTGAAATTTCCAAAGTTAATCGTGGTTGTTTTTATAACTAGCTACAAATTTAAAAAAAAACGCATGGATATTGAAATTAAACATCTACACATTATTACAACCATTTTAGCCAATGTTTTTAGAACACACGAATCTAGAACGGGAGAGTAGGTTACTTTATTCAAAAATACCAAATTAAGATGGTCGAACTACAACAAAACATAATAGTAATGACGCATTTAACAAATTAAATCGGCCGGTACAATTCGTACAGGCATCGATAAATAAATATAATAAACAAAAATTTAGCTGGAACAAATTAATGATGAGGAATGAATTAGTCCACAAAAACAGAAACATAAAGTAATCATCTAAATATTGAAGAAAATAGTGATCGGACAGTGATCGCTCCCTAGGCATTGCGAGCGGATCTCGTGCTCCACCACCTTAGGGACAAATCGTTCCGAGACTATGCAATAGTCGAGTCGCCAGCCAACATTGCGTGCCCGTGCATTTGCCATGTAAGTCCAGAAGGTGTAAGCGCCCTTCCGTTCGGGATACAAATGCCTAAATGTGTCCACAAAACCGAGTCCCAGCAGCTCTGTCATCTTGTCGCGCTCCTCCTGGGTGAAGCCGGCATTTTTGGTGTTGGTCTTAGGATTTTCAAGGTCAATGGGCATATGGGAGACGTTCATGTCGCCGCAAATGACCACGGGCTTAAGGCAATCTAATTTTTGCACGTACGCTTGGAAGGATTTCTCCCAACGCATACGCGGCTCCAAATTAACCAGTTTTCGTCCCGAATTCGGAACGTATACATTGATCAAGTAGAACTTTTCGTACTCTGCCGTAATCATGCGTCCGACGTCATCGAACTCCTCGTTGCCAATACCGTACTCGACGTTGATGGGCATAATCTTGCTGTAAATGGCGACGCCGGCGTAGCCACCGGGCATGCACAGCCAGTAGGGATGGTAGCCCGGGAGGCGAGTAACCTCCTCCGGTAGCTGATCGTTTGCGCACTTAGTCTCCTACAAGGAAGTTCGAATTAGCGTAAATTGTAGGTAGGGAAACGGTAGCTTACCTGCAGGCAGAAAATGTCTGGCTCCTCAAGGTCTATTAACTGAAGTCCATCCTTTTTAAGCCAAGCTCTCAGGCCGGCCACATTCCAGCTAGAGATTTTAAAGTTGAATTCCTTGTCGACTGGCAAAGCGAAAGCGTCTTTATCCAATGTCGCATTGGATTTTACCTCCGCCTTTTTGGCTGCTTTGGTTGCTGGAAAACAAAAGTTGAGCATGTTTTGCAAGCTTTTCAATACGGCAGCACCACCGCAACCGGATTGCTCCGCCAACATACTTTTCGAGCCAACATCCTCATCATCTTCAGCATCATCAGCCTTAACAGCTGCCCTTTTCCGGCTTCGAACTGAAAATATAGATTATACTAATATGATATAATATGATGTATATTATTGTTTGCCCACCTGGTTTGCTTTCAGCTGCAGGCGCTGCTGCATCCTCAACACCTTCCACAGCCTCCGTCTTAGCTGCTGCCTTTTTCCGACCTCGAACTGTGAATTAAAAATGGTTAAAAATGGTTTTAAGATTTATATTTTCTTTAAGAGCCGCTTACCTGGTTTGCTTTCAACCAAAGGCTCGGTGTCTGCATCCGCACCGTTTTCCTTTTTGATAGATTCCTTCTGCCCGCGCTTTTTTACGGGCGCCGGCAGATCCTCTTTGGCCACCTTCTTGGCGCGCTGCTTGGTGGGTTTAGCTGGAGCCTTGGGCTCTGTTTCTTTTGCAGCTTCGCTATCCTTTGTTTTGATGGTTCGTTTTTTGACAGCTGCCTTTGGCGGAGCTTCTAGTTCTTCTGACACTATTTCGAAATCACCTACAATCTCGGGTTCCGGTTTCACGGCCTTAACCTTCTTGTTCCCCTTTCTGCCGGCCTTTGGTGGCTCCTCATCCACTTCAGCCTCCTCGAGGGCAGCTGCGATCTCCGAATCCGCCAGTCGCTTTGTACCTCGTGCCCGCTTGGCAGCTGCCTCTGTTTTTTTGGTCATCTCTTCGGAGGGTGCCATTGGTTCTGGCTCTTCCTCGTTTGCCGGTGCTGTCTCTTTTTTCGTGCGCCGCTTGGGTGGCTCCGCTGGTTCCTCCTGATCGCCATTGGCCTCTACCGACGGCTCCTTCCGCTTCCGTCCTCTGGGCTTTGGGTCCTGGGCAGCCGTTGGCTTCTCGATCTTGGTTCGTCCTTTAGTAGGCGCCGGTGCATCTTCCTCGGGAGCAGGAGTGGTCTCCTTCTTGGCCCGCGGCTTGGATACCTTGCCAGCTGGTGGTTCTTCTGCAGTCGCCTTCCTGGCGCGTCCCTTCTGCTTGGCCACCACCTCGGCCTCCCCGTTTTCTTCTGTATCCTTCGGCTGCTGCTTCTTCTTGCCACGTGCAGCTGCTGTGGGCGCCTTTTCAACCTCGATTTCCGCGGAGTTTTCCGTAGCTACCGCCTTAATTGCTTTTTTCGAGCGTGGCTTTCCCTTTGCCGGAACTTTGGCTTCATCGGCGGCAACTTGGTTTTCGTCGGGAATTCCATTGCCATTTGGAGTGGGAACAGTGGCTTCGGATGCCACCGCCTCTGCTTGTTTTTTCGTAGTTTTAGTGCGTGGCATGGTACAGTTCTATTGGTATTGGAGCGAGTAGTTCCACTCTTCACAATTTATTTTTAAAGATTTTTTTGTTTTTTTTGCGAATTTTGCACAGCCGCTTCCTCTTGGTCTGTCCGCTCCCGATATCAACAAAAAGAAAACTGCGCGGGCAACGCGATTTTTCAAGGCATTTGATTTTTCGCTTTTCAACACTATTTTTGTTCCACTTCTGAAATGCTTACAATTTGTGACGTCTGTGAAACATCCACTAATTTCAATTATTAAGAGATATTTACTCTTTTCATCACAAAAAAAGGACATACAATAGTTTCATACGCTATTTAAAAAATATTCTAAGAACAATTTAATTTATATTCGCTGAAACCATTCTACGTCACCTTCTTATGTTGTTAAGCATGGACGATTGAAGTCTTTACCAACACTAGTATAATTTAGAATTAAAATACATCCCCGCTGTGGCAAATATTTAAAAAATTGCCACAAACCGATGATTAATAAGTCTTCTTTTGTTCTTTTACGAATAATTGACATTGAAAGATTGAAAAGGTTACCCGAAATCCTTACTTTAAGTTTCTGGCCTGCTAAAACCGCTCCATAATGCCAAGTGAAATAATTACACTGCAGCTGGGACAATGCGGCAATCAAAGTGAGTTTATTAAAAAGGGACACATCTGTTCGCTTGCTAATACCTTTCATAGTTGGTTTTGAGTTCTGGAAGAGATTGTGTCTTGAGCATGGCATCTCTCCCAGCGGCGTGCTGGAGGACTTCGCCACTGATGGCATGGACCGCAAGGATGTGTTCTTCTACCAGGCGGACGACAACCATTACATCCCTCGAGCAGTGTTGTTGGATCTGGAGCCGAGGGTGATCAATGCCATAATGGGCTCCGCATACTCTAAGGTGGGACACAGTACGAAGACATTAGATTCTAAAGGCTGACATGACTTCTATTTCCTCTAGCTCTACAATCCAGAGAATGTGTACCTATCTAAGCATGGAGGCGGCGCTGGCAACAACTGGGCCTCGGGTTACAGCCAGGGCGACAAGCTGCAGGAAGAGATATTCGACATAATCGACCGCGAGGCCGATGGCAGCGATTCGCTGGAGGGTTTCATACTCTGCCACTCCATTGCCGGCGGCACGGGCTCTGGAATGGGATCCTTCATCATGGAGCGGCTAGCAGACCGCTATCCCAAGAAACTCATTCAGACATTCAGTGTGTTCCCCAACCAGGACGAGATCAGCGACGTTGTAGTGCAACCCTACAACTCCATGCTGACCCTAAAACGTCTGACCACCGCGGCGGACAGCGTAGTCGTTCTGGACAACACTGCCCTTAACCGCATAGCCTGCGATCGTTTGCACATCCAGAATCCGAGCTTCTCGCAGATCAACAATCTGGTATCCACCATAATGAGTGTGAGCACCACCACTCTGCGGTATCCCTCTTACATGAACAACAATCTCATGGGACTAATGGCTCCACTGATTCCGACGCCCCAGCTCCACTTCCTTATGACTGGCTACACGCCTCTGACCAGCGATTCGGATGTCAACAGCCATGAAACGGTTAATGTGCGCAAAACTACAGTTCTGGATGTAATGCGTCGCCTGCTGCAGCCCAAAAACATGATGGTGTCCACGGGACCCGACAAGGCCAACCACCACCGCTACATTTCCATTTTGAACATCATCCAGGGCGAGGTGGATCCCACGCAGGTGCACAAGTCCTTGCAGCGCATCCGGGACCGGAAGATGGCCCACTTCATTCCCTGGGGTCCCACTTCCATACAGGTGGCCCTCTCCCGCTCCTCGCCCTACGTGCAAAGTAACCACCGAGTGTCCGGCCTGATGTTGGCCAATCATACAAGCATCTGCTCGCTATTTGAGCGGGCTCTTAACCAGTACGATAAACTGCGCAAGCGTGGCGCTTTTCTTGATCAGTTCAAACGCGAGGACATCTTTAAGGACAGTCTCGATGAGCTTGACGATTCTCGTGAAACGGTTGACTGCCTGGTGCAAGAGTACGAGGCCGCCACACGCGAGGACTACATGCAGTTTTCAGTAAAGCGAGGAGCAGGGGGTCCAGCAGACTCCAAGTCGGAGGACGCAAGGTCTGCAACCAGCAGCGGTGTCTAGCTCATTCGTGCCAGCAGTTGTGTGCCATGAGTTTTCTCGAATGTATTTTAAAGTTTATCTTCGAAGTTTATCTTCGAAGACGTCGGGATTTGAAATCCCAAAGTATTGACCAGCACATTGTTTGTAAGAGTCGTATCTATGTAGTGCAGTTACGTATTTAACGTAATTTAACGTTTGTATTTAATTGCTAATTAAACAAGACATATATTTAAACAAACGTTTTATTTGAGTTTTCTGTGTATTATCATTTCTAGTATAAGGTATTACAATCCTTTAAAATAATAAAATGTTTAAAAATGGTTTGCAACTGTTTTTGTCCAAAAGGAATATTTATTTTTAGTGTTCTTTGGATGTATGTCATTATATGATGTTATAATATAAAAGGAGGGGCAGTATGTCCCGATACTGCAGTAACAAGTTATACATGTAATCGGTTCAAAACCAAATATATGGGAATGTCCTAATAGCTTCTTGCTGGTAAATTCTAATGTTTAGGGTGCGTTATGAAAGATTAATTGTTAAGTACAATTACTTCTAAGCATTTAATTGTCTCTAAGGAAAAGTTGAGATAAGTTAATACCCTCTTTTTGACAAGTTTAAGATAGAATTACCTTGAGATCTTCCTAAAGCCTTGGCTTTCCTGGATGATGCTTGCTTACGATGAGCACCTCATTATGCGATGGTTTTTTCTTGACCTTCGTCCTGCTCGTGATCTTCCTGCTCGTTCCCTTCTTCCTGCTCGGGACCATCTTCCTGCTCGGGTTCTTCCTCCTCATCGTGTCCTTCTTCTTGCTCATGATCTTCCTGCTCGTTCCCTTCTTCCTCCTCATGGCCATCCTCCTGGTCATGACCATCCTCCTGGTCATGACCATCCTCTTGGTCATGATCTTCCTCCTGCTCGTTGTTTTTCTCCAACTCGTGGCCCTCCAGCTTCCCGTGCTCCTCCTCAGAATTTTCCTCACCGTGGTGCGCCAGCTGCTCTTCGTCGGGCTCCCCATCAACTATCTCCTCTTCACCTTGATTATTTTCTATGTCATCGTCATCTCCCTCGTCATCGTCATCGTCCCCCTTAACTTCGTCAACGACAGTAAGCTCAAGATGACAAATATATTCTTCCCCATCCTCCTCAGTCAGGTCTATTTGATCGGACTCGGTCGATGGTTTCTTGGTTTTGGGTTCCTCTGCCTCCGTCTGGTTCACGCGAACCGCTTTCAGTGCACCCTTGCCACTGATCATGCGACATGGCAGCTGGCTAAAGCGGTAGCTAACGGTCATGCCTTTCTTCCGCAGCAGCTCCAAAGCCTTGTCGTCAATGATGATGGTCAGCATCTTGCCGTCCTTCATCTTGATGGAGGGGGCAAATTGCCAAGTTTTTGACCGAAGGTCTGCATTTTGATCTTTTAGAAGATCAAATGTAACTTTGTCGGTCTCTTCAGCAGAGCGTGGCACAATGATAGTAAACCCCTTGGTGGCGGGTATCTCATCCTCCGGACAGGACGACAGTTTGATTCCCGGGATCACTTTGATTTTCGGTACAACCTCATCCAGCCACTGCCTGGAGCTTTTGTCCAGACAGGTGACCAAAATCAGTCCGGGGAGAAATTGGATGCCTCCAAAGTTGATGCTGGTTTTCCAGCCCTTTCGCATTTCCTCTACGAGGCTAGCCTCGATCTTAGATAGCTGCTTCTTGTTCAAAACGCATTTGGGATATTTTTCTGCCAAGACGGCCATTGTGAAGCGTTTCTTACTGGAGCCCATTGATGTCGACCCTCCTCCTGGGGCCCTTCTCTGTTTCTTAGGCTCTTTATTGGCTCTTCCGCCAAATGACTTGTCTTCAATCGGACGCTTACGGCCACGATCATCCGAAACAGACAACTGCTCAGAATGTTTACGGCTGCGTTCAGACGGAGCTGGTTGCTCCGGCCGATTGAGAGAAATGCTTCTCCTATAGTCCAGCACCTTTTGACGAGCTTCTTTCTCGGTGCAACCCATGGCTATGTACTTATGGTACCATTTGAGTGACCCACCTTTGAAGCCGTCCAGATTGATGCGTCTTTCCGAGACCTTGGTCACAGCCTCCTCTGTATTGCAGCCCATCTCAACGTAGCGATGGTACCACTTGCGCCTTGAACCGCTAAGTCCATATATGGCATCGCGAAGGTGACTCGGTGGCCCCCTTTCTTCCTCTTGCATGTGCATGGGCTGGGGCTCACGCTGGGTCATCCTTGGGGCTTGCCACTGGCCCCCCTGATTGGAGGGTCCGCGATTGCCTGACCACGACAGATTGTTCATGACGGTACTTTGTCCCGCTTTCTCTTGTTCGTCGTTCCACTCGTTTCTGTTACGACTCCAAGGAGACCTGACCTGCGGGGCAGCAGGGTAGTCAGTGGATGGACCAGGCAAGGAGTTAGAGTTCGAAGAGCTCCAGAGGGCCCAGCCGCCTAGATTGCGACCCATCTGGGAGGAACCCGGTTGGCCGGAGTATCCTCCCGATTGGCAGGTATAGTCGCCCGATTGGCCGGAATAGTCGCCCAAATGTCCGGAGTAGCCGCCATCCCTATTGTCTCCATAGGTACCATTACTATTACCGGAGCCGCGGCTATTGAGCCACTCTCTTTTTTGCCTGTAGCTCGGGTCCATTTTTTTTTTTATTAATTATACTCACTTAAGATATTAGTGCACTTGCCGACATCCGCTGCCAAAGTGAGGGGTTAAATATGTACCCTTTTCAGCTAGAGACTGAAAAAGTCATGGCCTTCTTTGCGTGACACGACTAAGCAGTTGTCAAATTGAAATTTACTGTTTATTTTGGAGTCAACACACTAGACCTACAAATTTGTTTTAACAAGTTAAATCATTAATTCTGTTAATAAACATATAACAACAGTTAGTAACGATTGTGTTACGGTGCCATCTCTAACCATAAAAAGTCCACTTGTAGTGTTGGTAAATCCCCAGAAATTTTAGATATGATGCATTTCAAATAAAATCAACTTTAAACGGGATAATGATCAGTAGCATTTCCAATGGCCTCAAACCAACTAGACGTGCAGCAGTCGGAAGACCAGCCGAAGATTTCCACCTTTGCTGTAATAGATCTGGAGACGACTAACTTGCCCGAACACAATTACAATCGTGTCGGCATTACGGAGCTGTGCATTTACGCCTTTGAGGCCGATCTCATTAAGAAAGGTGTGGCTCAGAATGAGGAGCAGGGTCAGCAGAAAGTGCCGGCGCCACCGCGCGTGTTGCACAAGTTGAACCTACTATTCCAGCCGTCAATGATGGTGCAACCGGAGGCCGAGAGTATCACAGGTTCGCCATAAAGTGCATCCTAATATTATGAATCATCATTGATAAGTGATTATCTTGTTAATTTAATGATTATCAGGTCTAAGCAATTACTTGCTGGAGCGGGAATCCAAGTTAAACGGGGATTCCGCACAACTTATCATCAGCTTCCTGAAACACTTGCCAGCTCCAGTTTGCCTGGTAGCTCACAATGGCTGGGGTTTTGATTTTCCCATTCTGAGGCAGGCCTTTGAAAAACTTAACATGGAACTTCCGCATTCCATGACTTGTGTGGACTCACTACGTGCCTTCTTTGAGATAGACGATAACCTTGTAAAGGAACAAAGTCTCTTGAAGGTTCCAGGGAATATGCAGGAACTTGATCCAAATGATGAAACTGAAGCTGACACGCAATTTGAATCCATTAACGAAAATGACTCTGCCATAAAGGAGCCAAAAGTTGCCAAGCAAATTGACTGGAGAGTCAGGAATGAAACGACTCCAAAGCGTCCTATTCTGACCCCAATGGAAGCTTCCGTTAAGCGCAAGTATTTATTCGGTGGCGATGACGATGAGGATATAAAACCTGCCAAGCTTAAAACCCAAGAGTTTCGATCTCGCCGAAAACTCTTCAGTGGTTTGATGTGTGCCGAGACAAAACGCTTTCCGCCCCGGGGTATTTACAGATTGGAAAATCTGTTCTCTAGAAAATTTCAACGGCCGGCAAGTAATGCCCATCAGGCTGAGGCGGACGTCGACATGCTCATGAAACTCATCCAGCATTATGGCATGGATTTCCTGGCCTTTGCTGAGGAGCAAGCAATTCTCTTCCACCAAGTAAGGCCGCTTGGTTCCCCAGTTGGACGAAAATGGCGCGCAATGTAAATGTATCCTACTTATAAGTTTTTTTGCATGACATTGATTTTAATTTGTGATGCATTTATATTTTATATCCTTAAGGATTTCTATGTCTTGTATAGGAAAAAATTATATTTCATGTTTAATATTTTTATATAAAATTTTACCATAAAACTGAAATGGTTAGGTACAAATATTTAATATTTTATTCTATTTTAAAAAAATTTAAAAAATAAACCGAACCTAACAAATTTTGGCTTAATAATTCATCATGGATATCTATTTGACAAGAGAAGAACAAAATCGTAATCGTTACCATGTACAAATTTGCAATAATTTTTTATTTAAAGTTTCTTAAATACAACTGAGGTAACCACGTTGCCCACCTTGCCACCAAACTTGAAGGTCGGTGTGGGAATAGTATGGTATTTAATAAACTTATCAAAGCTTTGCTCCAGTTCATCCTCCGTCCAGTTGCAGGATGTGATGACAAACAGGCTGTCGGCAGTGCGTAACAACTTCTCCACCGTCGCGAGATATAGGGCACGCTTCTCCTTGGGACTATCCGGACAGAGGCTGACTGCATCATAGGTTCCCTTGTCGTGCACTACATCAAAGGTGCCCAGATCGTCCTGTGGCTGTGTCAAGTCTGCCACCTTGTAGCTAATCTCCAGGTTGTTATCCTGCGCTATATTATGGGCCAACTCGACGGCCTTTGGGGAGTAGTCCACGCCGGTCAGCTGACCGTATCCCTCATTGGCCAGCCCCACGAGAAACATCCCATTTCCGCAACCCAGGTCAAGTACTCTCGCCTGTTTGCCGATCTCTTCCTGCTTTAGCAGCCAGTCGATCACGCGCTGCTGCGAGTCCTCGTCGAACCAGATCTCGCCCACATCCCCGTGGTTCTTGTAGTTACGAATCTCGCGATTGTAGCTAGATTCCCAGTATTCCTGGGTTCCCAGTTCAGATCCATGCTCGTTTTCCATTATTTATGATTATTAAATAGGGATGGTAGTGAATTTTGAACAGCTGATTTTGCGCGACGAGTCAAGATAACGTCGAATGGTTAGATTCAAAAATGGAACTATGAAATATGAAACTCGGGGGCTTTTTTTAAGTTGCTCTTAATTGACTCTTTAAAAACTAGATAAAACAATACATATTTTATTTTAGTTTCAACTTTTTCATTTTGATTTGCCAAAAAATTAAGACTTTAGTTAATTTCATATATTTATAATTTATTGATATATTTTTAATAGATTTCTCAGACACTACAACGTACTTTGTATATTAATACATCATTAATATTAGTAGCTTTAATTTTAACTAAATTACAATTCTCTGGATCATTCGCTGATTCTATATTTCTAAACGGTATATAAAAGTTAGAATGCAATATAGACATTAAACAAATTATTAGTCTGCTGCCACATTTCATAACCTTGATACGATTCCTCAACGATCCCCATTGCTTGTGTGTTTACAATCATATCTTAGTATTTAAATATAGTGAGAATTTGTTGTTGGTTTAAAAGCTTTTAAACGACTTGTTTGCATCATGGGCCACATGCATACCACACAGCACACCTTCATAACCGCCGCACCTTCTGTACAGTTAAATAGTATAAAAATAATTTGTTGTAATGATGAACGAGTTAAAGCCTATGATTTATACACAGAAAGTCTAAGATTAGGTTGCAGGTATTGCCGCTAAACCCTGGATGATGCAGTGCTTGCCCTCTGTGCTATCGGATGTGAAATTATTTTTAGAAGTATAGTTAGCTGCTAGGTATTACTTGTACAGGTGTAAGGAGCTACGCTTAACGTATTGTATGCAGGTTGGTTTTCTTCTGTCGAGTGGCTGGGCAGGACTTATCCTCCCAGCCGGGCTTAAATCTAGGCGTTCTATGTACAATAGACAGACGGGTTCAAAAACCGACTTCTCAGGTCTGCGTGCGTCGCTCGTAGTCGCTGCGTCTGTAGTCGGCAGGATAATCTCGCGACATCACCGGATAGCCGCGGGGGTCACTGCGGTAACTGGGCGGCGGTGGTGGTAGGCCAGGAACGACTCCATTTGGCATTCCATAGTAGTTAGGCGGCAGGTAGTGGCTCGAGTAAGAATGAGGCGGCAGGCCAGAGGGATATCTAAAATAGATTACCATCAAATAAAAAAATATAACGTAATCGATATAAGAGATTGACTACTTGAGACTTGCTGATAAATTACCTGCGCTTGTCGGGACGACGATCGCGCTCGCGTTGTTCGCGATGATAGCCGCCGGGAGCTCCTCCACTGCGCGGATACCCATCGTAGCGATCGCGTTTGTATTCCTGGCTGTACCTGTAATAAAATCATAAAATGAATCTTCTTCAAGCTAAATCGCCGATTTTGGATATTACCTTTCACGGGGATGCCACCGCTCCATCTCCGGGGTGTAGCCGGACGGAGCAGGCGGTGGTTCGTAGCCGCCTCTACCTCCACGATTGTTCGGTGTGGAGGGGGAGGTGGGGCCTTGTCGCCGGGAGTTACTGCTGCCGCCACCTTCGTAACCTCCACTGCTCATAGGTGGACCACTGCCACCGTAGTAATCGGCGCTGCGATGGTGTTTTTTGCGCTCCTCATGGCGATCCATGTTCAGCCTTTTGAATGACATAGACTTAAGGTGGTCACCGATGCCCCCACCAGGAATACCAGATACTCCGCTGCTGGCCTCAGCATCGTTCTCATCACGCTTCCGCTTCAGAGGCGAGTCGTTAGCAAAGCGACCAGTTGAGGCTGTACCTGTTTCCGGATAGCGCGACTGCCCAGTACGTTCTTTGTCCTTGTCCTTCTTCTTTTTTTTACCACCACTTTTGTCGCGCTCCTTGTCTTTTTCCTCTGCTGAGAGGCCGTTGCGCTTTGACTTGGTAGGACTTCCTGCCGTATCCTTGGCTTTTCCCTTCGCCTCGCTTGCGTCGTCACCACCGCCCGTTTTCTGCTTCAGTGCGTGCTTGTAGATTTTAAAGAGACGTTTGGCATCCAGCTCAGTAAACTTGGACACAAAATACCACAGGTTGCTGCGCCACTCCTTTTTTTCTGGCTCACCGTAGGGATTTAGGCAAACGTCAATCTGCTTGCCGATTTGCAAGAGGCAATCCCTAGTGTGCTGCAGCTGATCCTGGTCGGACAGACTAACATCCGGCTGATCCAGAGCCTTTAGGGCCTTCTTCACTGGACGCATCTTTTCCTTGCACTCATTGAATATGCTGGGATCTAGATCGCCCAGCACCTCCAAAGCCCTTGGTTCGTTGTTGGCCGTAAAGTGCATTGGCTTATTGCCGTTGTTGTCTGAGGCACTAGTCTTTTTCGACCGGGCCTTGGACTTTTTGGTCTTTTTAGCGGTGCTATTGGACTGTTCAGCGGCCGGAACATTGTGTGGCGACGCGATTGATGGGTCCACCTGACTGGTACTGCTCTCGGCGGCGGTGCGTGCATCGTTTGGGTCATCGGCGTCCTGCGACTTACCTTCGTTATTCGAGATAGCTGTCTGGCTTGCCACTTTGGCCTCGTTGGCACGCGAAGCTCTGGGCCGACGTTGTCGTCGTTGGCCGCCCTTGGTCAGCTCCACGTTCTTCTTGATGATCTTGAGCAGGTACTCGGCTCGCGTCTGCAGTTGCTTGGCCTGCGGCTTGCGCGTGTCGTTTAACAGGATCTTGTCCGTGAGCTTGAGCGTGGGGTCCAGCTTCATCTGCTCCCAGGATCCAATACCGTATTGGTAAATGCCGCACAGCAGCTTTGTGTCCTCCTCATTGCCCCAGTCCACATCGAAAACTGCGGCGCGCGTCTTGATATTGAAGCTCCACTGCTGGCGCTCATCGGGCATGCTGGGCATGATCTCGTTGAGCGGCTGCAGCTCCTGCTCGCAGGCTATCAGCTTTTTGGCATTAAAGGAGACGCCACCCAGCTTCACAGAAAAGGTGGCGCGTGCGCGGCGCTGCTTAGCGCCCGGCGTCTCATCCACGGCCGCAGTCTTGTTCTCTTCTTCCTTGTGCTCGTGCAGAAACTGAACGCAGCGGTCATGCAGCATCTCTCCGAGGCGCTTCAGCTCCGCCAGCGGCTTTTCTTGCAGCTCAGCATCGCATGCAATGGCCTCCATGCGGTGAAGTGGGGCGGGAAACTTTTTGTAGCTGCGGATGAAACGACGCAACTCCGCATCCGTGAACCCGGTAATTTTCTCCTTCATGGTAGGGCGTCCTCGCTTGCGGGGTCGGCCATCGTCACCACTACCGTCGGAGCCAAGCTCGTAGTCCGAGTCGCCGCCGGAGTCGTCAGCCTGCTGTTTAGCCTTACCCCCCTTGCCGCCTCCACGCTTTGCCTCATTTTGGTTCGCAGCGACCGTCTTCCTGCGAGGCGGCAGGTATAGATCCTCCATCTCTTTGGCTCGCGCCTGATCGTCGATTGCTTTGCGGAAGCCCTCCGGAATGATGTCGTCCCAGTCCTTGCTGTCGTCCTCGTCGCCGGCGGCATCATCCTGCTTGTTAGCCGAATCGCTCGGCTCCTCTTCAAAGGCTGCTATGCTAGCCACCTTGAAAGCGGACAACAAATCGTCTGCTGGCATTTCAGGGTCCTCGTTGCGGGTCTCTGCCCTGCGCAGAATGTCGTCAATGTCGCAAACCAGATCGTCGTCATGATCCTGCTCATCCTTAAACAACTCCTCTGCCCCAAACTTAAGGATTGCAGATAGATCGTCCTTGTTGAACGGATTCGAGTTGGACGAGTGCCCGTTGCCGCTCTTGTCCAGCACAGTGCGACCCGTAGTGTCCATCCGCTGAATGACCAGATGGTCCAGCACCATCTTCTGTTTGGCTCGCTCCACGATCTGCTCCTCAACGGATCTGGCTGTGACAAGGCGATAAATGTTAACCTGGTTTTTCTGTCCAATGCGATGGGCTCTCGCCTGCGCCTGTAAATCGTTCTGAGGGTTCCAGTCAGAGTCGAAGATAATCACTGTATCAGCGGTGGCTAAATTTATGCCCAATCCACCAGCTCTTGTGGAGAGTAGGAAGCAGAAGTCCTGACTGCCGTCGGCATTGAAATGATCTAAGGCCTGGCGCCTCATTTCACCCTTAATGCTACCGTCGAGTCGCTGGAACGGCCAGTGACGCTTCTGGAGGTAATCAGCCAGGACATCCAGCATGCGCACCATCTGTGAGAAAATCAGAACGCGGTGGCCTGTCTCCTTCAACCGGCAGAGAAGCTTATCGAGCAGCACGAGTTTTCCGGATCCCTTCAGTAGAGTTTGCAGTGCCTCATCCTGTTGCAAGCCCATCAATTCAAATTCCGAAGGTCGTATAAGGGCAGCGTGGTTGCAACACTTCTTTAGCTCGATGACTATGTTCAAGAAAGTGGAAGTACTGCCACGCTTTCCTTTTCGCAATGCATCGAAGTTTTTGGTAAGGATCCACTTGTAGTACTGCTTTTGTAGCGATGTCATCTCGACTCGCAGGATCTGCTCAACTTTAGCCGGCAGCGACTTCTCTACGTCCTTTTTGACCCTACGCAGGATATACGGCTCGAGCTGCTGATGCAGCCGAGTGTAGCCCTTGTCCTCTGCGTTGCCGTGCTGCACCTCAAAGTTCTCCCACGTGTCGAATTTATCCGGCATGATGAAGTGCAGCAAAGCCCAAAGCTCCTTCAATGAGTTCTGCAGCGGAGTGCCAGTAATAAGAAGACGATGGTTAGTGTCGAATTCCTTAAGCGATTTATACAGCAACGAGTCGTCATTCTTAAGACGATGCGCTTCGTCCACGAGCAGCGCAGCCCACTGAAGAGTACCCAGGAATTGCTTGTCCTTCAGCACAATCTCGTACGTTGTGAGGATGCAATTGAACTTAAGTCGCTTGGAGCCCTCAAACTGCCACTCGTACTGCTGGATCAGCTCGCGTGACTTGATGTCGCCGAGGTAGGTGACGACATTCATGTCAGGAGCCCACAGGTCGAACTCCCGCTGCCATGCCGTCATGGTGCTAAGCGGCA